TAGCTCAACCAAACCCAGCAAAAGAAAACCCATAACAGATGTATTTTTGAGTCAAACCAATTCCTTTTCTTAAACCAAATTAACCCTCATAAAAGTTAGTGAAGAGGATATAATTTAAGCCCAAAAACCACACCCACTTAATGGTAAAACAGATCAGTATTTCTAACAAGAATCCATCTCAAAAGAGTCAAAGCCGCACCCAACGAATGGGTCAAAACAAGGCAAAAAAAAATTCATCATAAGTTCAGTCCCCAAAAGAGCCAAACTGAACCCAACCATATGGGCTAAATGCAATGCAATTTCTAGTTATCATAAAGCCAACCGAGCCATACAGGGAGGCAAACCGAGCCCCTCACAAGGAGGTCAAAAACAGAAATAAAAGACCTCATCAAGGATCCAAAGCCAAAACCGCATCCAACAGATAGATAAAAAACAACTAAAAAAATACTTCCCCCTTGAAGTCTCACATTTCAAAGTATTGTGTCAACATATACTTCAATATAAAAAAAAATGAATTCCAACATAGATTCTAGATGAGTAAGCATCAATGTAAAATTCATATCCATGACCTTTACGCATCTTAAGCAAGCAAGAAGCATAAACCATCCTTCTCTCTAAACAAATAATCCTCCTTTTAAAAGTAAATTGTTTAAAGAAAGAAAACCACCAATTTCCAGCATGTATATATAGAAATTATAGGAGTGTAAGAAGAAGATTTGTATGTAAGAATGAACCTAAACATGTTTTCTATGTATCTTGAGCAGAAAAGAAAAGAAGTCAGTCATAACATGCTCTATTTCAATATTTCCATGGACTATTTCATGCTAAAGTTTCAGCTAAAGTTTCAGAACAAGCTCAAGCTCCGATCTTTCTTCCACGTGCTCTAGAAGAGATAGAAAATATTTTTATGTCATCTGAAATAGTGTAAAAATAGAGAGGAGGAGGAGAATACCTCTCTAGTGGAGCTTTAAAGCAAAACACTATAAAATAAATTGAAGAAAACACTCCCACAGAAATCCTTCCCGAGGCCTCACGCAAATAGCCACCCACGGTTTCTAGTTCTCGGCACAATAGGTCCTAGCCGCAAGAAAATTTTGGTAGAGACTTCTTTCCTAAAACCTCGAACAACAAAGAAGGAGACAGCCTCTCAAACAACAAAGAAGAAAAATGCAGCATCTTAAACAGCACAAAAGCCACTCCTCTCCTTTCTCTCTATAAATTTTCAACAACCTAAATCAGTAAGCTAGGAAGCCATTTTATAGGCAGAGAAGAGAAGAGAAAGAGCCACCAACCAGCCTCACTAGTAAACGAATCACACGACGAGGCAGTAAATACTACAGTAAAGTGGGAGACGGTAAAGTCTCGAAAAGGAGAAGGGTCGGCTAGCTCGCCTCTTGCAATTGGAGAGCTGAAAAGTCAAGGGTGAGCTCGAAGAGGCAAGCCGTGTATGTGAATCGACAGGGGAAGAGTTGAGAAAGGGGAAAGAAGTCGCCGCGTGAATCGCCCGCGGGAACTAGGGCACGAGAGGGGAACGGGACAAGCTCCGCGGGATCATGCCACAGGATCGAGACGTACGAGGGCTTAAGTGCGCGGGTAAGGGGTAAAATAGGAATTAAAATTATAATTTTAATATTATAAAGTAATAAAATATATAAAATATTTAATATTTCTTAAAAATAAAATTCAATTCACACTTTTTATTTGTGTGTCAAAACATAATCAAATTAGTGTCTATTTTAGGTAATTCTGACGTTCCGGACGCGTTGGCGCGGTTCGTTTCACCGTCGGAGGTCATTTTGACAAATTCATCGATTTGCGTGTCATTTTGCTCGTGTCGGAAATGTGGCAATATGAGTGTATTTTCCTGCTAAAATCGGTGTCCCGAACGCGTTGGCACAGTCCATTTTTTTGTCAGAGGTCGTCCAGAGATGTTCGCATTTTCACCCATCGTTTATGCTCAATTTATGTTCGATCTTGTGCAATTTAGTGAATTTCGTGTATCTTGTGTGCACGTGTGATGATAAAGTCCTGAAGTGACTTTCCTAAGACTTAAAATCTTATTGGAAACTTCTCCCTGAGTCTTCACACAATAGCCCTTAACCGCTCGTCCATAAGACACTGGTTTTGAGACCATAAATGCTAGACATCACAGGAAAATAGGAAGTGGCTGAATTTCTGAAAAAATGGTGGGTCCCAATTCTAGTTTTCTAAGATTGCCAATAGGAACTCCTAGAGCTAGATCTTAGGATTCTAAAGAATAATGACCTAAAAAATGAGGTCAACACACATGCCGACTGCTCCATTGCAAGATACAAAGCCCGTTTAGTAGCTAAAGTATTTAAACAACAACAAGAAGTTGATTTTCACGAAACCTTTAACCCTGTGGCTAAATTTCCCACCATAAAACTCCTTATTGCCTTTGCTACTAATAAGCAATGGGATATCCAACAGCTTGATGATTCAAGTGCATTTCTCTACAACAAACTAGATGATATTGTTTATATGACACAATCACCTGGTTTTACTGACACTACTCACCCAAATTATGTGTACGAGTTACACGAAGACCTTTACGGACTCAAAAAATCACCACACCAGTGGTACTCTATCTTTTGTACCTTTATCTATATTCAAAAATTCACTTTAAGCACGACTGACCCATCTCTACTTATATACAATCATAATAAAACATGCATATATCTACTAATTTATGTGGACGATATACTCATCACATGAAACTAAGCCACTGCTATAAAAAAATTAATTACTATCTTTAATACATAATTTAACTTAAAAAGATTTGGCTCTCACTCGAATCACCTATTGATAAAAATTGATAAAAGCTCTCACTCACACTTCCTTGGCCTTAGCATTAAAACAACTGCTCTGGGCTATTACATCAACCAAACTCAATATCTAACTGATACTTCACAAAACTGGAATGACCCAAGCAAATTCTATTTTAACCCCTCTCCACCAAACCTTATTCTAACGCCTAACCCACTTCTTCTCTCTCAGATCCACAACATTATAGGCAATTCATCGACTCCCTACAATATCTAACCATTACCCGACCTAATATTACCTTCACCATAATTCACCTATGTCCATCAATGCACCAACCCACATTACTACATCAACAAAAAAATAAAAAGATTACTTGGACATTTAATAGGAACTCTCCACTATGGACTTCCTATTATCTCTGAATCTATGCTCTAACATGCTTTTGCGGATGCAGACTGTGCTAGTGATTTTACTGACCGAAAATCTATCTCTGGTTACTGTATTTACTTTGGACCCAACCTCATCTCCTGGTCAGCTAAGATGCAGCCCACTGTAGCAAGATCATCTTTAGAGGCTGAGTATAGGGTACTAGCCTCGACTACTACAAACATAATCTGGCTATGCGGACTCCTTCAAGAGCTCGCCAACTCTCTTTAGAACGACAAAACCTTTGCCATCGCGCTTGCCCTCCCATTTTCGTGCACGCACCAAGCATATCGAAGTGGACTACCACTTCATTTAGGATCACATAAGCCTACAACAAATCCAACTACACCACATTATGATGGAAGACCAAATTGCCGACATTTTCACCAAAGTCCATCCCATCAAATGCTCGCTTCCAAGCTGACGGTCTCCACATCTGACCCTCACCATGAACGGGAGTAATTGATGGAACAAGGTTTCGAGTTTACCTGACCGCCGATCTCACCTTCCTCTGGCCTCTGCTCCTCTCCTCCTGGCATCCAGCTCTCGAGTTAGTCTCGGGCTCACTTGGTATGTATTTTATTTTCATTAGTCATCTTCTATATTAAGACATTTTTACCCTTCTAATTATTTACACATGCCATATAAATAACTACACAAGGGCAATCATGCAAAATGTAATAAATGAGAGAATTAATAAAGATTAGAACTTGGCTTCCTTCATACTTCCTTCCTTCTTCTCCTCTTCATCTTCGTTCATATGAGGGCGGGTAACGTTCTTGAGATGGGACATGAGAAATTTAAGAGCAGTAGGTATAGTAATATCATTTATCTTGTGAAGAGAAGTAGTGGATACCATGTTTGCTTGAGTAGAGGTGGGGCAACTTGAATTCATTTTTGCAGTTAATCAGAGAAGGTCTTTGATACCATATGAACGAAGATGAAGAGGAGAAGGAGGAGAAAGGCAGGAAGAAAGTCTGAAGGAAGCTATGTCCTAATCGTTATTAATTCTCTCATTTATTACATTATGCATGATTGCTCTTATATAGTTATTTATATGGCATAAGAAGGGCATAAAAGGTCTTAATACATAAGAGGACTAATGGAAATAAAATAAACATGAGACCAAGCGAGCCCTAGAATAACTCGAGCAGCTAGACGCCAGAGAGCAGAGGAGCAGAGGCCAGAGGAAGGTGAGATCGGCTCCCAGGTAAACTCGAATCCTTGTTCCATCTATTAGCTATCTCAACATAAGAAATTGTGTTGCAAGAAATGAAGTGGAGTTTAAGTATGTATAACTCAAGAACAAGCGGCGAACATATTTACTAATCCCTTCGAATAAGAAACTTTTGTAGAGTTCAGAAGCATTGTTGGAGTTACAAATCAAGTTTAAAACTGAGAGTCAAAAATAAATTTATTTTGAATAGATGAATAAATAAACTTCTTGAAAAATTGACATGTTAGAAATTCAAATGTTAGGTAAACAATACGATACATGTGTATTTGTTATGCTTGGTAGGTAAAGAATGAGTGGTTGAGATTGTTCTGCGTGATAAAAATATGCGGTGTAGATTATTTTTAAATATGTATAAATACTTAATCTTAAGGATCACGCATGAAGTGACGTGCAAAAGTTCATTAAAAGAGAAGAGAATCAAAATAAAAGAAACATAGCTTTTAAAGATAGCATGTGTGAGTTTAAGAGTTGTATTTTGTAATTTTGAGTTTATAACTATATATATATATATATATATATATATACTGATATACTGAATTCTTCATTTCAGGTAGCAGTGGAGCTGTGTCAGGTTGAAGGAAAAGATCGAGGGCCGGCGATCGTGGAGGAAGCGAGGAAGCAGGGGGTATCCCTGCTTGTTTTAGGGCAGAAGAAGAGATCCATAACATGGAGGCTGCTAATGGTGTGGGCTCATGGCTGGGGGAGTAGAATGGCCTCAGGTGGAGTTGTGGATTACTGTGTGCAAAACTCTCCATGCATGACTTTGGCTGTGAGAAGGAAGAGCAGAAGAGGTGGTGGGTTTCTGATCACTACAAGAAGACACAAGGATTTCTGGCTTTTGGCTTGAGTTTTTTGCCTTCTATTTTGTTTTAGGAAGATTTACATATATACCGCTCAATTCATATATATTTACATATCTAACATTGTACATACCATATTGTTTATGCATGGAAAGGTGTATTTCAAGTTTTGAAGTTTGAAATGGTGGTATTTGTAATGTGATATGAAAGATTTGAGTGGTATGGATGTAAAAAGCATTATTTTAGGCGTTTGATATATAAATACATAGGAATTGGGTGGTATATATGTAAAAGATTTGAGTGAAAGGGTGTATTTCAAATTTTTAACTTTAAAATGGTGGTATTTTTAATTTATTTGATGTAATATGGATGTAAATGGAAATTTGGTTGGAAAAGGCTGCTATTTAATTAATAAATTGTATATAATGGTTGTTGTTGGAAGAATATATGTTATTTAGTGTTGGAAATTGATGAAAATAAATTTTTTTTTTTAGTAAATTGCATTTGCTTCATAAACATTCAATAAACAAATAAAATAAAGCCAAAAATTAGAATTTTAGATTTTAGATCAATTAATAATTAAAATTTTTTTTACAAATATAATGTATAATATTAAAAGGGGCTAATGCATAACTATATTAGAAATTTATACGTCAGATTGGAGAAGGTGGATTTTGATAAATTGGCATAACTATATTAAAAAAAGGTGGATTTTGATAATTTGACATGATTCTTACGTCAGATTGGAAAATGAAGATTGTGGAGTGTGTTATGTAAATTTATTTGTGCAGAGCGGAAATTGGTGTGAGTTCTCTGAATTTCATAGTGAAATTTATGGTGGTGTGGTTCTATGATTTTTTTTCCTGTTCTTGGGATTTTTCATATAAAATTTTTGTGCTTTTCTAATTGCTTTTGATAGTGCTTAAATTTAGATTTTGTTTCAGTTTTCTCAAATCTTGTGTGATTATGTTCTTGTTAGATATGACTCATATACGAGATAAGGGACAGATCCTGGAGTGGAGTGGAGAGGAAACATCTGTCCAATTGGATGAATTTTTTGCTATGTGAGTTGGGGGTGCGGAGGCAACCCCTCGCAGCACGGTACAGGAGTAATTTTGTAATTAAATATTGTACTTCAGGATTATATATGCTAGTTTGTAACTATAGGGCTTATGTTGTATCATGTACTCTTTTTCTGAATTGAAGGAAAGTCGCCGCTTTGCTCCCGACGACGCAAACATCTTTGCTGAACCTTGTTAAATCTTTGTGTTATTCTTCTGGATTTGTTTAGATTTCTGTTTATTTGCCCTAAAATTCTCAATAATTATTTTGTTGTATGGATTTGTTTTTAATTGATCCTAAGCCCAGGTAAAGTTGGGAATTGTTCTCATTATTTTTATCGAACTGGTATCAGAGTGGGGTCGATTCGAACGGGAGCAATGACCGAGGAAGCAAGGTTCAAAGTGTCAAAGTTCAATGGGACGAGCATTACATTTTGAAGATGTTGGTGGAGGATTTGTTGTATCATAAAAAGTTATACTTGCCACTACAATGAAATACAAGAAAGCCTGAGTCTATGCCTATGGACTAATGGGAAGTATTAGATCGAACGACACTAGGTTTTGTATTTTTGGTTCTCTTTAATTTTGGAGTCACCGGCCGGTTAAATCATTGTCTTAAGATTCTCTTTTCCAAAGAGCCCTCTTACTTGAATCGTTGGAACAATGCAAAGGGGATAAGAAAGAAGAAAATAAGACGAAAACTAGATAAACAAATTTAAAAAGAATCATGAAGAGCTTATGTGATATGAACCTCATGTGATATGTCAAAAGTGTACATCCAAAGGAGATCAAATCGAGACACCTTGAACCAAATATCCATGAAAGAATACTTTAATAGGCTACCCATGTAACCAAAAAACCAAATTTATGTGTTTGTCCTGGGTTCAACAGTACTCCCAAAGGGACTTATCTCTTTTAATTAATTTCATCTTGATGGATGCCCAAGAATACTTTCAATTAAAAGAGTAATGTTTACATTCAAATGACGACTATTAAAGGGAGTGTCAAAGGATAATTATATCACAAAACTATTACGGCGCTTTCAAAGCTCATGTCAAGCCATTCAGATAGAGAGTAAATCTCTTACATATGGTGGCTTATTGGAAGTCGAGGCCTATGAAACAACTAGGTCACCTCATTGGATTCGCACTATGCTTTCAGGTTTAACCAGACCATAAAGGTACAAGATGAATCATCGTATCTTGAACTTGCAGTGGTATGTTTGCAATTGGGGCCTAGGAGATGAATTCAACAAAGCATTGAAGGAGCGTCAAGGCTCAAACTGGGTAAAGCAAAAGGAATGGTAGAGTAATCTTAACCGGGTAGTCATGGATCTATCATCCTAAGCTATTTGGACCATAAGTCTACTAATTGTAAAGGTAGTCCAATGAGATGTCGGTAGCCCTAAAGTCAAAAGACGGAAACTCTAAATCCTATGACTCTTTGTGAGTAGAATGAGTAGGGGTGGGACTTATACCTGGCAAAATGGGGAAAAAGTCACTGGAGTTGAAAGAGAAGAGAGGTACGACTTCGAAGTCAAGACTCTCTCACAGAGGACTTATTTCCTGCTTGGGTTGGGAGAGCCTCTAACACCCTAATCGCACTAAACAATCACATAAATAAAAATCTTATGCGTGGTCAAACGAGTTGAAGATGTGCATAGTTTTTTTTTTCTTTGAGACATGTAGAATGATGCAGTCATCTACACAAGTTCTTATGTGAAGGCCCTATTGGTATAACTTGGGTGATATCCAAGCTATGCGATCCATTTTAAATCCGACCCGAAGATCATGTAGAAAATTAAAAACAATTTTGAAAAGCTGAGATGTTTTAATCATAAATTTTAATTAATCTCAATCTCTTATTAAGCTTTTGTAGAAAACTTATAACTTTAAGTTTTCCGGGAGTTTACATTACATTTTCGCATGATTACAAGGGAGAGCTAATATTTTACTATTCATACTACTCAATTATCTTTGTTGCTCTTTCCATATATTTCACATGTATGAACCGATTGTTTGTACAGGTCATATGCCCCGTCGTATGATTTACTAGTGGGTAACTTGAACCTCAATGGAACATGATGGTAGAGGATTGTATACTTCATGTGGCAAGACTCATGAAATCTAATTTGATTAGTAGAAATTTTTAACCTCTTAAAGAAACTCTCCTTAAATAGGACATTGCAATTCACCTCATATAATTTCACTACCAGTATCCCTAAAATGAGCCCAGTCCAACTCTATTGAAGCTGGTGAAGGATTGCAAATATTGATTAATTCTATGAAAATTTGTGGTGGGAGAAGAAACTTAAATGTCATGAGATAATTCCACATGAGCTTCTTTAATTGGCATAATTCTACCAAGTCATTAATTCTGATATTACACTCTATTAGCTTGCTTCCATTAAAAGTTGAACTTGAGCTTGTTGCACATCCATCCTACGTATATGTTCCTCTACAGTTAAAATAATATTGAAAACCTACGAGGTAAAGCCCAAATGAAATAGTCCATTTTGTTAACTGCAACTATAAAATTATGTCCCTTTCGTTAACTAGAGCAGCATGATTACGAAGATAAGCCAAAACTGGGAGATGAGGAGCTGGGTGATGGTGAAATTTGATGGGAATATAGAATCACTAGCAGCGCCTGGCTCGCAACTCATCCGGTCTGGGTCACACCTATGCGCCAAATCATTCGAGTACCACCCCCCCCACACACATATATATATATATATATATATATATTGTTTTGGCCGTTTAACTATTTTGTCCTTTGTTTTGTGTTCTTAGGCATTGAATTGTCTTCTTTTGTGTGGAGTTTTGACTCTCTCTTTTCGTGGCTTTGGAGTATTGACTTCGCTTATCACGACAAGTAGCATGCAGTGGAGTTCTTTTTTAAATTATTTTTTTTAATTTTTTTAAATGCTGGAGTTGAACGAAGGGCTGCGAGAAGAATGGGACGTGGACCAAGCCTGAGAGAACCTATTTTTTATTTTATTATTTTTTAAAGGAAAATACCATTGCCGTTAGATATCAATGAATTGACCACGCCTAGCCTTTCGATAGGTTGGAGGTATTCAATTAATCAAATCAATATCATGATCATGATGAAATAAGCATCATCACATTGGACATTATCATTGCGGCAACAAGATACATATGTACGAATAGATATAACAATTACAAATAGTCGTTTTGAGTCTTAAATGTGTGTGAGGCCTAACAAACATAGAATATATTATATCTAGTTAATCAGATATGCGGACGATTATGTGCATCGCACCAGGGTGCTGTGCATTCAACGGAATGATGCGATCCACATCTTTGTCTGCACATACATCATCCAGATTATCTAACAAACAAGAACTACCAATTAAAAATCCATCATCTTCTCAAAAGCATGCATGGTTGGTGAAGAAAGAGCAAGAGTTATGGATATACTCTCACCCCCCTTACCATAAGTTCGGAAAACGGCCAACTCAGGTGCGAACAACTCAGCCAACTCGACCTGATCCGATGAACCCCAGCCAAAATCCATCGGCTCAATGCCCAACCGGGTCCAACTAGAAATAATGAATGTCCCGGCTAATGACGGTCGAGCCCGAGTTAACTCATAGAAATCAATCGTTGAACGAACAAATCGGTTCGTGACACCCTGAATCGCTTCTTCCACCATTTCGATCGCATGATTTAAAGGCCGGTTCATCAGCAACCCAGCCGGGCAGAGGCAGCAAGCGAGAACGAACCCGTTCCCAAAGTACTCTTGCGGTAGGGGCGGCTCGACCCGGTTCCGAATATCCACCGCAAAGAGCAACTTAATCGGTTCGACCGAGGGGATATTCAGAGCCTTGGTTCGGGCGAACCAGATGAACCCGACCAGCGAAGTGAAGGTGCTCGGCCGGTCTCCGCCGGGAGTTGACCCGAGCTGTTTTAAGCGGGAGAGCTTAGCGGGATCAAATACAAAGCGGCGGACACAGAGTGAATCCGATGCATCGGAGGTATAGGGGGCGAGGTCAACGTACTCTGGATGGCTGACTTTGAACTCCGGGGTTTGACTGGCGCGTAGGATCGAACGGTCCAGAAAGGGCGGCGGCTGAGATAACGGCGATCCGCGAGCCGTTTTAGCCCAAGCCCGACGGAATCTGACGATAGATACGCCGTCAGCTATTGAATGGTTTACAGTCAGGCCTACTGAGTAACCGCCGCATTTGAATTTGGTCAACTGTACGGCCAATAACGGTAGCTGTAGAATATCATGAGAGGGCTGAGGGGAATAAACGAGCTGTAATAGATTCTCTGAGTTTAGAGCATCGGATATGTCTCCGAGCTGCTCGAGCGATGAATCCGCCGTCGCCTCGACGAACGGCACGCCATCATCGTCGCCGAATCGAACGAAGAGCTTCCGGTCGGCGGCGATGGAGAGGCGGCCGGTGAAAGGGTAGAAGTGGACGAGGACCTTTTGAAGGGAGGTTCGCAGGATATTACTGATGTGGTTGTCGTCGTCACCACCGGTGATGCTCCGGCGAGCGGTTGAGGGGAAGCAGTGGAAGGTTTTGATGAGAACTGTTAGGTTTTGGTCGAGATTTGAGAGGAAGTAAGGGGCCGTTGGAGTTGGTTCGGAGGGATGAAGGATCACCGGCGTTGAACGGCTTACTTTCATCATGTTTTCATGCCGAGTATTGCCTTCCAAGTTTGTAGTTATATATATATATATAAATATACGAATTTGCAAATATATCATGTTATTTTTATATATTTACAATTTCATATAAAATACTAATAATATTATTTTTTTATTAATGAATTCAGTTTTTCGAGCACAGATTTCAATGTGGTTGTGATGTTAAAGTGTTGTTTAAATAAGCATTAAAGTTTAGATATTAATTAAATACATATTATTTTGTTGTACTATGTAAATAAAAGTTAAATTATAATCTAGAATGAAGATTTGCATACGCACCACTAAATCTTTTGTATTGACATATTTAACTCACAAACTTTAATTTTTACATGCATGCCACCACCCTCCCTAAGCAAGAGAAGGTCATACAGTTACTTTGGGTGGCATAAATGTAAAAATTAAAGTTTGGGTGTTATATATATATGTAAATGCCCCCTCATATTCACAATATTTTTTTTTTTTTGGAAACCGACTTTTGACCTTCTCATAATTAGATGTTTAAATTTAAGGTTAATATGGTAATAGTTAGGTATTAAATTAATCAATATCTGGTCATCAAGAAATTAAATATCTTATAAAGTAATTTAGTAGTGGTTTTCTCGTTTTTGTCTGTATGTATATGTCCATACATACATACATACATACATACATATCTATAAGATGCGTTTCCTTTGTAAAGACTACATACCACCATTGCAAAACCATTTAAATAATAAGTTTTATATATTGTCCATTTATTCAACGGCTAGGAAAAAAGTCAGCACATCCCCGTCTCTACGTGTTTGTACCTGTATATACATATATATTCTAAATATATTCACTGGTATACGATTTGATTAGGTTAATAGATTGATTTATTAAAATAATTGAGCAACAAATACGATTTAGTTATAGTCCATCAACAAAAGGACGAATCTCTGAGGTATGACATAGATCTCAATGCAATATTTTGAGTAAAAGATTATCAAATCTTGATAAAAGTGATTCAGAGCTTTTATTTTAGCAGACTTAGAGTAAAACTGAATTCGAGCACTACTTTTGCCACTGTTAATAACTGTCAACCATCATGGATAATCGCCGAACACCGTTGACCACTACTAACAGCCATCGACCACCACCTATCGATCTTCACGGATCACCATCGGTTGTCGCCCACTTCTTGCAACGAGTTCATTCGAACGTCAAAGTTGTATTTCTGAAGGCTTTGTAATGTTTTCCCATCTATGGGATAGAGGGGTCTCTGTAATCATCAACTTATAGAATTTTTACAGCTGTGGTCAGTTCTCGTGGTTTTTCTCTTTACAGATTTTTCAATATCACTAATAATTATTTTCTCTTTTCTGAATATGTGTTGAATCTTTATAAATATGCGACTCTACTTCCGCAAATTTTCTAGCACGCGCCAATACTAAAAAAAAATTGAATTTGCTAATTAGCAATTACCAGCCTTTATTTTTTTTTTAATCTTTACAATCTTTGATATTAGCACATGGATAAGCAAAGCCCACTATCAAATGGGCTTGGATTTCACTATACCTCCTCAGAACTGCTCTTTATGGGCCTTATAACTCGCAGGCTGTAAAAACTTATATTGGGTAATTACTTGCAGAACATTTGAAATATGGGTTAAGATGTTATTATGAATTTTGATATTGAGTGAGACTTTGTAATATGGATGAAAAGGGAGGTTGGATTTGTAAGTAGCTATATTTCAAGTGCTCTTAGGTTGGGTTATTTTTTAGGGAAATTTGATGGCAACGACAAAAGAAGGCATTTACATACATACCACACAATTCTTATGTATTTACATATTTACATCCAAACTTATATGTCCACATATATAGCAATCAATTTTTTTACATTACATCAAAAACATCAACACTCGGGGCATTTACATGCATGCCAAAAAAATTCCAGAGTATTCATATATCTCACTGCTAAACTTTATTTTTTTTTACATTTATACCCCTTAAATTTGTCGTATCAATGAAAAAGTTACTACTTCTATAATTTTTAATCTTTCGAAGAGGTCATGTTGGCCGGTTGAGCTTGGTTGTGGTGTGGTCCACGTCAACTGATACGACCCAATTGACAATCATCGATCTCTTATGAGGGGACTCTTGAGTTTTCGCGGTATGGTTGAGGGAAACATTGTGGAATTTAATCTTCTCTTGAGCTGACTCTATTGAGAGGTAGGCTACTGCATTGAGTTTGCTTTCCTATAGCGGTTTAGTCAAATGCTCTTTCATCTAGTCTTCGGTCGGATGACTCGTACTTGGATCATTTGATCATCTTCTTGTTCACCTCATTGCTCAGTTAGTTTTGGCTCGATCGGCTTGGCTCATTTAGTCAAGTGACCCTTCTCAATCTCCTAATAGTAGGCCCACTTTTATCATAAACTTCCATTTTGAACCGTTAGATTCCCTAAAGATCAGTGCATTTACTTTTTAGATGTATACACATATAAATAATTGTGTGCACAAATACGAGTATACGTGATTAATTATCCATAAAATACTCTTAACGAATCGAGCCCACCAATCAAAGTGGTTAAATCAAGCCCATCTAGCGAAGTTGCCGATTTGATCATCTTTATCATTCTCAAGAAGATTATTCATCCTACGTAAGAAATGGTGACAATTTAAAAAAGTTATCATGACTAGCAAAGCCATCTGTCAATCTCACTCATTGAAGACGTCGCTTGCTACTAGAGATTTAGTTCTTTTGCTTTTCGCTCGGATACTAGGGAAGCGATTGGTCGGTGATATATAACATACAGTCGTTTGACTTTAGATCAAGACATCAGAGAGGGGGAATGATATGGTATCAAATGTATTAATTAGATTAATTCTCTCTCTTATGTATAAAAGGGGTGATCATAGGAGCTGATCGAGAAACTTCTTCCACTCGTCCAAAAATGCCCTGGATATTTGGTTTCTTCTCTCTCTATCTAGGATGTTACAGAGAATCTCTCAGAAACCGCCTTCCTTCTTCTTACCGAAGATCAAAAATAAATATAACTCTCAAATCTCCCTCAAAAGATATCATCCATCTCGCTCTCTCTCAGAGCACTTATTCCACTCATCAAGATCTTTTACGGAGTTGTATGTATTAATGAACCATGCCGACAACAATCTCCTAAAAGGATTCAACAGTAATTTTAAGTTATAAAGCTTTAATTTTCAACTAAATATGGAATTATGTATACGAATGAAGGAAACAATTCATTGCAAATTTAAGATATTCTTTGAGGCGAGGCGATGACTGTTGGATGGCTTGAACGTTAGATGGCACCACTCCCGTCACAAAAGAACTTTGCATGGAAAGGTATATAGTTGCTTGTAATTATATTTGACGCCCAGCAAACAATTAATAAATTGCAAATTATTTTTTTTTATTTTTCCGACAGGATGCAATTTTTACTTGGGCGAGAATTGAACAAGTCAACGGGCCATGCCAATGAAGGGACTTTGGGTCGTAGTACCGCTCAACTGCCCGCGGCACATCCGCGTCATCTCGTCCACGTAAGTTGCCGGTCTTTTTTTTTAATTATTTTTTTATTTTGCATTAAAATTTACATAAAAATGTTTTTTCTTATATTTATATACTTTTTTTAAATTATATATATTTATATATATATCTATTTATCTCTCTCTCTATATATATATTATTATGGTGATATTAAATATAAATTCAAAAGCTTTATTTTGCTTTAAAAATATAAATTTTAATAATATATTTTTTATTTAAAATTAAATACTTGGGTTTTGTTTAAATAAATGTTAAAGTTTAGTTAAGAATAATGGACCGGGCCCGGCCCAAATAGTTAGCTGACTCCGAGTCGCCTTACATTTTCTCGGTTCTTTCTGTGTAAACCGCTGAAACATTCAAAGCCAAGCATGCCTCAACCCAGGCACAAAAAAAAAACTACACTTGTCATTATCTTATCAGTCCTAGAACTATATAGCCTGTTCTGTTTTAGACAGCCAATCCTGCCAACAAGGATATTATCGTACTTTTGATAATATATCCCTTTTTAAACGGCTTCTTCCCCTCCCGTCACGATTCAGCTGAAACCAAAGCACCGAAACAGACTGAAACAACTGAGTGATGGAGAAAAACCAGAAGAAGTTCCAGAATTTCATCTTCAAGCTAAGGAAGAACAGTTCCACGCTAACTGTAATCTCATTCTTCTTCCTATTTTCATTATTCTCATTCCTTCTGACATTCAACGATGAATTCCATCAAATTTTCTCCAACCAATTCAACCACCTGAAGCACTTCCTTAACAAAAAGGCTATCTTCTTCTTCTTCAATGTCATCCTGCTCTTCCTAGCTAAAACCTCCGGCTTGCTCGCCTACTCTATGGAGCAACCGCCGATGGCCGCTCGACTCCCCTGTCCGGATTTGGGCGAAAAAACGCAGCTTTCGCCGGCGAAGAAGTTGAATATGGAGGAAAACTCGGAGATTTTGCAGGCGGGGAAGATGACTGTGAAGGAAAACCAACAGCTTCTGTTAGAGGTAAGAGAAGTAGAGAAGAAGATGCCTGCTTTGATGGAAGGCGACTGTATTTTGGAGGAAGAAGAAGAAGAAGAAGAGGTTGGGGGAGAAATGGAGGAATGGGGCATAGATGAATTGAATAAGAAGTGTGAGGAGTTTATATTGAGATTTAGGAAGGAGATAAAAATGGAAGCTTTGCAGATGGTTATGGTTTAATGGAAGCATGGTGAAGAGACCTTCTCCGTCTTCCCTGCAGCACTGCAGTAGAATTTCTTCTTCTTCTTATTTTCTTTTTGGCGTAAATTTTGTGTTTAATCTCCCTGCCCTACTGATTAATAAAACATGGTAGAGACTAGTTTTAAATAATTCAATTTTGTTGAATTTACATACATACCAAATAATTCATGTATTTGCATATCTACCATCTAAAATTTGAAGGCACTTGTAATAATTTAATGTCATAAATTTATGAATGAAATTAT